GTGTGCCTTAGGCTGGCCACAATACAAGGCCACTCTGAAACGTGCAGTTTTGCTTTATTGGGGGGGTCTGGGGGGGTCCGAAAACCAGTCAGTATCTGGTGTGAGGGTTAGGATTAGGTTTAGGGTTAGGGTTAGGGTAATGTTGTGAATCGAGTGGCCTGTGTTCATCGTCCATAACATACGCCTGACCATACCATAACCCCACCACCACCATGGGCCACTCGATTCACAAAATTACCCTAACCCTAACCCTCACACCAGATACTGACTGGTTTTCGGACCCCCCCCTAGACCCCCCCAATAAAGCAAAAATGCACGTTTCAGAGTGGCCTTTTATTGTGGCCAGCCTAAGGCACACCTGTGCAATAATCATGCTGTCTAATTAGCATCTTGATATGCCACACCTGTGAGGTGGGATGGATTATCTCGGCAAAGGAGAAGTGCTCACTATCACAGATTTTTTCAGATTTGTGAACAATATTTGAGAGAAATGGTTATTTTGTGTATGTAGAAAATTTTTTAGATCTTTGATTTCATCTCATGAAAAATGGGAGCAAAAACAAAAGTGTTGCGTTTATATTTTTGTTCAGTGTAAGACTTATAACCCCCCTTTTCATGACCAATTTTTGTCTTGAATCTATCAGATCTGAGTTTTTACCTTTTTTTTGTAGTTATTAAGAAATGCACCCGAAATGTCAGAGCTGCAAAAAAAAGAGAGGCAAAAACCTGATTTCCATTTTTCTGTTAGAAGGAATGCATTTTAAAATCTGCTTCATATCGTCTCTCCTGCTTCCAGGTTTCTTCTTGAAGTGCCTGTTCTCAGGAGTGGAGGAGGGGAAGCTATCACTGGCAGCAGAGGAAGGCTTCTATTCTGACCACTTCTTCCTCGAGCTGCTGGTGGTCCCACCCTGCAGGTACAGCCTGAACACACACACACACTCTGAACACACTGGTAGTAGGGATGCACAATACATACAAATGTTATTTAAAATAGCAATATAGTGCAGGAGTAAATCCTGTTTCTTTTGTTTGGATGCCTAATGTAAGATCTGTGGTTTACGCAAGCTGAAGAGATTTTCGCGTTTTATTCTACGACAAAAAACCATCAGTAAACACTCCTCTGGTGAATATCTGAAGCTTCTACAAGTCATAAAAACAGCAGTTGCTAAGTTAGACAATTAAACGTAATCACACCGAGTATTAGCCACCTTTAGCTTAGCGGTGATGACGTGGAGTCATGTGATGTAGTTTGCTGAACAAAACGTGTAAGTATCATAAACATTGTGTTTGTATTTTCTGCAATGCTCCAAAATCCGATGGAAAACAAAAATATGGCATAACTGCACCAAACTATTGATATGACCTTATTGCTTTATTAAACCCGTTCTTCTCCACAGGTATCGTCCAATCAATCGCATCGGTGACCAGATGTTCACCAACGGTCAGACAGTCAACATGCAGGCGGTAATGAAGGACTCTGCAATCATCCGGAAACTGCTGGCTCTCATTGCGGGGGAGAAGATTGATAAGGAGGAAGAGGTAAGAGGAAGTGCTAACAGTTCTGATTCCCTTTTTTTTTTATAGTTGTGTATTATAGGGAAGGTTGCACACATGCAATTCCCTTTTTTTCCCTCAGGCTCCAGAACAGATGGACCAAGCGTTTCTGACGGGGATCCCTGGGCTGACGGTCACAGATAAACTCTACAACATCTGGGTGCGGCTGCAGACACACGTCAACATCGTCTTTGACAGCGACATGGACAAAATGATGTCGGAGAAATACCCCGGAATCAGACAGGTATCCTGCGACTTTGACCAACATCAGATTACTATGTTTCTCTTGCTTTCTCTGACCAATTCATCAATAAATCACCACAGTATCCAATTGAATGGGACTACATAGCAAGATAACTACATCAGTGATTGAAATCCATTCAATCAAATGACCCAATTTTCCCCATGGATAAATAAAGAATTCTTATTTTTGTCTTATGTCTCTCTCCGATAATGCTACATTACAAAGATATTCATTATAATATGAATAGGGTTATTGAAAACATATATATTTGTATTCTGATTTAATAAAATGTATGCAAGCCGAGAAGGGGAAGCAACCGATACAAGATTTATGGGAGAAAAAAAACTAATATATATTAAACACTAACCTTATTTTAGTAGTGGATAACTTTTCTCTCGCGTGATCTAAGGCTTTCTATAGGGCAGTGACCTCTTGCTAAATGTTTGCACTCAGTGGCAGGTTGTTTGTTTGTGTTCGCAATATCAAACGCAACAATTTGTCAAAAAGCACGTATTTTATCGGGACTAAGGTTGGGAACTGAAACTCAGCTCCGAGTAAGAGCCACCACCGATTTCCCGGTACCGGGTACGCAAAGAAAAACATTTATTTCAGTTCTGTGTTGATGAACCGATATGATGTAGCCCTTTCCAGATATTGTACTCCGCGAAGCCATACAACCAAATCAAACTGTATGAAGTTATTTGTGAATATTAATATACAGTTGAGTAGGCTTGGGCGGTATGACGGTATTACGGTATACCAGGGTATTTCGAAATACCGTCGGTATGATTTTCAATACCGTGACGTCACAGACTGTGCGCCAAATCACAGATGCGTTTCATTCTATTACACTGACACGGAGTTTTGACAGGGACGACATTGGTTGTAATGCACAGCACGCGCCAGCAGAGGGCAGGGGAGGGCAGTCCGTCTTTCCCGCTCTCAGAGCTCAGCACAGAGCTGAGCTGAGCAAGATGGCGGCAGCATTTGCCGGCCCCGAACTCGGACAACTAGTAAAAAAGAAAAATGCCTCTGCGCCTGTTTGGGACTATTTTGGGTTTACTCGTCGCGAGTGTTTCGACTCGTCGCCAGTGACTTCATCCAGCACAACGAGAGACAGAGGCACTTCTTTGGAAATGTTTAAGACGGGGTGAGTGAGTGTTGACATTTTTTAATCCTATGCAACTGGTTGATGGTTTTGTAGTCGAGGTCGGACGGTTTTAAAAACGAAAGCATTTACGTGCTAAACATTCACGCGAGTAATCCAATGAATCAAATGGAAATAAGGTTTTTAACACATGCACGGAATAATATTGCCAAACTAGTTAGTGAATATAGCAAACTTTATTCAATAAGTCAAGTATTTAGTCCCGGAAAATGTTTATGTATGATGATATATTGTTAACTTAGCTCACTATGGAAACAACGTCGGACATTTACAAACGCGTCCTGTATCCGATCTCAAAATGTGCCATTTGCACAATGTGTCATGTATGCAGCCCTTGTTTTGCACTTGCGCGCACGTCGCGGCACTTTGCGAGCGTCTACCGGCTCGGGCTGCATTTTACACCGAACATATAATATACCGTTTGAAACATCTATTTGCTGCCGAACGCCACCTCACTCAAGTCGACCCAAGTCATAATGTCAGTGGCGGCTGGTGGGAAATATTTTTGGTGGGGCTGTTGATATAGTGAGTAAAAAAATCTTTTTGGGAG